TCTGAAAAATTTAAATCTATTATAAAAAAATTTGACTTCAATATAGCTTACAAACTAATGAATTGTATGAATTATTTCATTAAAACAGGCAAAGACAAAATTATAATAAAAAAGAAGAACAAATGTTATTTATAAAATTAACTGTCATAATTGCAATTATTCTTATGTTGGGAAACTAAAGGAAATTAAAGACGCGTTTAAAAGAACACATAAACGATTTCAAAAAACCTACAATTCTTTGTCTGTTATCTTTCATCACAACTTGATCACGATCATACGATTGGAATAATATTAGCATTCTTTACTCAGAACAATCTTATTATAAAAGGATGGTCTCCGAGATGATACATATTAAACGACAGAAAAAGGTTTAAACAAACATAGATACAGAACGCTTTTCTAAAATCTCCCTACCTACAATCATAGAAAAAAGCCCCTCTACCCACATATACATTTATTCTCTCCACTATCATTCCCTCTCCTTTCCTTTCACAATATATAAATACTGTTGCGAGTTATGGTCTTCCAAAATTTTTGTCAGCAGTGATTCTTACCATTTGTTCAAATTGTTCTGTTTTTTTAAATTGTGTTACTTACTCCGAGTTACATTTGCGAGGACTTGCGTCAAAAAATATGTGGTGAGCGAGTATGAATTTATATTGATTTTCATGAATAATTATTGTATTGTTTAAAATTTAAATTATTTAGTAATTATTTAATAATTTAACGCTTTCTTTTCTTTTAAATAGAATCTGGAAATTCCGTATTTTCACCTGATGCCACTCTTTTCTTCCTTTAAAAAGGAATCAGATTATTTATCAGAAGCGTTAAAATTTTTGATTAATTTCATTTTCTGAACTTCATCTTATTCGATTAACTCGTACCATAAGCGATTGGAAAATTCTTTTATCATCTTATTGACTAGTGATCATTATTCTAATCAATCATTTCTAATTTTATGTATATTTTCTATTTGTCATCTTGATACTGTTTTACCATCTTTTGACTACCGATTTTTGCTTAATTAATTAATTTTTTGTATTTCTTTATTTGTCATCTTGATGTACTGATGATGGCCAAGTCTTGAAACGTCTACGTTCTTATATGATAATTTTAAATATATGACTTTGGTTTTAACATCTATTGTGGCTGTTTGTTTCCTATTATTTATATTTTGTATTTTTGAGCCACCTTAAAACATTTAAATTTTATTTCTTATAAGACATGTACAGATTTTCTATAAAAATCTTAAACCGATTAAGGTTTCACAAGATCTTTTCCTATAATTGTCAAAAGATATTATTTTCAGAACTCGAAAGATTTTATATGTTCTCATACAAAGAATAAGATCACTACTAATAAGATCTTACAAGAACTTATTATATTACTTATAAATATTTATTAATATTAAGAATTTTTGGTAGGGTATATTGTCGTATCTAACAAAAACTTGATTTATTAACTATTATTTACTATTTTTAAGACAAATGGACTATATTAGTAAAAATAATATAAAATTGTCAAATATTCTTACAAATTCAATAACAATATAACAATAAACGGACAAATAAGAGTTGATTTTTTTTAAATATGAACATATAAACATTAATAAGAGTTAAATACATACATAATAGAATCTAAAAATATTATTACATGTTTTGTCTCTTATATTGAGCCATCTTCAGATATTATCCTCCTCTCGCTTTTTTTACTATTAATTACCATTGTCAAAGAGATAAAAAACATAATGTAATGTGTTTCAATTTATGTGATCTTGATGACATGGAACATGTCCGATACTCATAAACGATTAAATGGTCGATTGTTCATTATAGATTCAACATATTTCTTATTTGATAATACTATTTATAAACAGAATTTCGGTACGTTCATGGGATCTCCGTTGTTGCCCATTGCAGACCTAGTAATGCAAAAATTAGAGAAAACGTTATTATTGACTTATAATAGTCAATTTCTTTTCTTTTATCGGTACGTCGACAATCTATTTGCTGCTGTTTCTTCTTCTGAAATTAATGCATTCTATGATTGTTTTAATTCTTTTCACCCATGACTACAATTCATGTTAGAAATTGATTCAGATTCTTCAAACTTTCTTGATGTTATGATCAAAATAGAACATCTAACCTTTGATTGATATCAAAAACCAACGTTCTCGGGATGATTTTTAAATTATTTCTCGAATCGTCCTATCTCCCAGAAAAGAGGGATAATTTTTAATTTAGTTGACAGAACTTTACTATTGTCTGACTCGGAATTTTACCAAAAAAAATCTCACATTAATAATTAACATACTCATTGAGAATGATTATCCCCTAAGATTCGTTTTTTTGATACAATCAATGACAGAATCAGAAGCATACAAGTGGAGGAGCAGCGGCACATGATTGTGATAATGAAAATCAGAAATCAAACGTTGCTATATCTTGATTCACTGTACCATTTGTTCTATCGATAACCGACAATAAATTTAATAGGGAGAACATTAAAGTCTCGTATTATAGCTCAAATAAATTGAATAAATTTATTAAGGTGCAAAAGAATTCTAAACCAGATCTTACAAAGAACAATGTTGTATACAAAATCATATGCAACGATTGTGATGCATATATCGGACAAGAAGTAGACAATTTAAAACCAGAATTGCAGAACACCATAATCATATTCGTTGGAATATCTATCCGTTTTGTAATCACCGAACATAGAAATAATGTATAATAGATTTTGACTGGAATAACCATTTCCAGATATTAGATAAAGAACCATGTTATAATAAAGCTTAATTTTTGGATGTTGAATATTAAAAAACAAAAAAACAGTTTTAATATACAAATCGACAACGAAGATCTTCATAAAACGTACATATCTATTATAAACTAAATTTGACTTTGTTCTTATTGAATCGTTTTGTCAATCTATTAATCATTCCTCAGATAGTGACGGTTTGTCATATGGTTAACATAACGTTAAAATAATATTTCTGGAGAATTCGTTCTCATATGGACTGTGAAATATATTTATCAACACTATCTGATTGACATTTTTGTCATTATATTTTATATATTTTTAAATAAATTTGACGAAGTGTTTATCCTACGAAACAATAACTGCAATCATGAGTGTTTCATCGAGATGATGTTGTTTACTTATTTTTTACTAAATATAAAAAAGACAATTTTTTTTAAGAATTATTAAATTATTTATATATTGACGAATAAATTTTATCTTTCTGATAAGAACATCATGAAATTCCGTAACTATCTTATCGTTTATGAGTATTGGACATCTTCTATGTAATAGTCATTAAGATCGCTACATAAATTGGAACACATTACATTATGTTTTTTATCTCTTTGACGATGGTAACTAATGTAAAGCAAGAGGAGGATAATATCTAAAAATGGCTCAATATAAGAGCTGAAACATGTAATACTATTTTTAAATTCTATTATACAGAATGTCTCTTAAGATGGATCGGAGCCACATTGGGGATGGAGAATTGATCGAAAGAAACAAAAAATTCTTATATCATTTTAAGATACTCGCTATAGTTTTCAAATTAAAAAAGAAAATGTCTAAGTCAATATGCAGTTAAGCCGCGCCGCGCGAATTCGTAGGACGACCCATACTCGAGCGGCGGCGGCGGCGGCGCGCAAAGAAAGGGAAGGAGCGCTTCGTCGCATATTGGCTTAGACATTTTCTTTTCTAATTCGAAAACTATAGCGAATATCTCAAAATGGTATAAGAATTTTTTGTTCCCTTTGATCCATTCTCTACCCTTAATGTGGCCCCGACCCATGTCTTAAGAGACACTCTGTGTGTGTATTTAACTTTTACAATATTAAAACGTTTACATTAAAAAAAAATCGACTCTTATTTGCCCGTTTATCGTTATTATATTGTTATTATATCAGTAAAAACTTTGTACTGTCTACTACTATGAAAAAAATATTAGAAATCCGAAATACTTATTTTTTGTATTAAAAAAAAAAGAAAAGGTTTTGGAACTTCGCATTTTTGTTGCATTTTTGTCCCATAGAGGTAGAATATGCGGTTATTACGGGAAGGAGGGTATATATGGCTCATGAAAAATTTACAAATATTGCTTATAAAGTGACAATAACTTATAAAATACGATTACGAAATTTTATCAAGGAATAAAAATGATAAATATATATTGTATATAAAGTAACAAATAATTACAATCTTACTACGTATATTACAAGTGTATAAGGTACATATTTCATGTAATACGTTTATTGCATTTAGTGCACTGAATTCAACCTGCGCACTTTGTACGCTTCGGGCATAAATCCCGCCTGCTACAAATGTCGTAAATCTCAAACAGGTAGGATATACAGGACAACAAACTAAACAATGGATACAAAAGCAAAGCAGTTGTATTTTGCTATACAACGTGCTTTACTATTCTTCTACACTTATGTATTACGAAATTATTACTAACACTTTTACACGCCCTACAGTAATTATTTTATGTAGCTTATCCAAGTAGCACAGCAGCGGTTGTAAAGCGTTAAAAAAGCGCTTTTTTAGCGCTTTGTAAGCGCTGCGTGCTATTTGAGTATAATTTATGATGGCGCTTACTACAATGACAAATTGATTTAACTCACAACTTCATTAATATTAACAGTAAGAAACTGAAATCATAATACAATACTAATATAACATAAAGGCATGTAATAGAGTAATTCCAGGAAAATTATCTCCACTCTTTCTATTTTTCCTGACTTCTACGGTGTAAATCCCTGCGCGATGTATTTGCCGGAGTTACCTTAATACATTAATTCAATATATTAATGTGGAACATTTAAATGATGAAATACATAAGAATATATTAATATATATTTAACATTACACAATTTTTATCTTCATCTGACTTGTGTTATGATAAAAATAAAATATTCTAGATAACAAAATGGTATAAGAAAAGAAATAGATGTTTAGCATAAATTTTTTTTCAGTTGCTATCATGTTGCTGTCATCAGGGCATTAGTAATTTCGTTTAGGGCAATCTAGAGGCATTATACGGACAACGGTAAACGAGTGGAAATGCTATAGCTAACTTATTGCCATAAATCTTACAGTCTATTGGAAATTTTCGTAAAATATTTAGTCCAAATTTCTGTCAACTGAATGGAAATGGAACGTTATCAAGCAGTAGGTATGAGCTACCACCAGAGGGATACGTCGAGTTAAATTTCTCGATTTTAAAAAACGACATAGAATAGAATAAAAGATTTTTCAACTGTGTTAGTGTGTTTATTTCTAATGAAATAATCTTCTGAAATAAGTCCCAAGATAAAAGCACAATACTTTTTTTTCACATGTTCACCGAGTAAATGAAATCTCCTGATTATTCTTTAAAATGTTATCACGCTTAAATTGTTATGTTTACTGAGGACTTCGATCACATTTCCTTCATGTTCAGAAAGCTTGTTAAAATGCCACCAGATTACTGATAAGTATCAAGTTGCTTATAAGAGTTAGTGACAATAAAAATCGGCAATCTAATAGGCAAAAAAATCAGAAACCGTTTTCTTAAATATTGAAAATAACTTAGGCAAAACAGTTTCAAATAAAGTGATAGCAACCTGCAGGCAACTTGCTATCTGGGATGAAATAAAATTATTATTTTAATCATTAATTCATTTTGTTCCAGCAAGACTGATCATTTGGAACCTACAAAAAAAAACATTATTCCATCAAGGGTAACATTTTTCTTAATAAATGTCTCTGCAATGTTTAAGATGGTAAGGTTGTTACTAACATTATTATTAAATTGATGATCATTTAATTTGTGATATTATTATTTCATAAATGTGATATTATTTGAAATTGCATTTCAAATTGGGCTAACAATAATTAGTGTGCAGTTTATACATATAATTGAAAGATTTTTAATTAAAAGATGGTTTTAATTATAAGATTATGCTATGAATAAATAAAATAAAGAAAGCCTAATATGATCAAGGATAGATCCTGATGGCTAATCTTTAACTTATTATTTTGGCAAATAGACTTTTGCATAACGCATAACACATGTTGCATAAAAAAATTGAACCAATCAAAGTTCTTTATTTCATGGAAAGGAAGGAAACGAAGGACTTCGATTGGTACATTTTCTTATGCATTCCGAGTTATGCGTTATGCAAAAGTCTATGCTCCTCGCTTAACTCTGTGTGGACTTTCTGCAATAAGCTATTACCATGATGTGTGCAGTTTAACCAAACCTTTTGCTCCGTGTCGTCAATAGATAGCAAGAGCTATTGTAAAATGTGAAACATGGGGTAGCATTCATAGTCCGTTCTTATTTTAAAATTGTTTTAAATAATGTCTTAAGATACTAATACAGTCCACGGATTGACTTATGACATCTTAAAACTGTACTTAAAACATTATTAAATGTATGACACACTTCATAATGCATCTTAAATTCTCTTTCTATAGAAACAAGGAAAGATTCAGTACAATTTCACGACACAAATCAGGCTGATATTCATAATCTTGCATTTAAGACTGTCTTAAATACAATCTTAAGATGTCATAAACCAATTTGAGGACTGCATTAGCATCTTAAGACATTATTTAAGATGGTTTTAATATAAAATAACGGACTATGATGCCGTCTCATGTTTCGCGTTTTTACAGTTGGTAGCTCTTGCTCTCTTTTAAGGACACGAAGCAACATATAATATAATATAATTATTGCAGAAAATCCATAAGGGTTATCATACATAAAACGATGTAAGCTACATAAGCATAGCTTAAAGTCATTCAGTATAAAGATATTATATTGATTTATATAAGCTGTTCCAGCGGTCTTATGCAGTGTCACTGGTCGCTGCTTACCTGAAAAATACCGGCAATAAAAACAAGGAAAAAGAAATTTCAATCTATCAGAAACTGTGTATTCTGTGTAGAATACACGTTTTCTGATATATTATAAGTACTAAATCTGTTATTCTCTAATTACAAATAAATTCCGAGAGCAGCTGTTATAGAATGAGAATATAATAATAATATATAGATCTTATAAATGGTAATATATATTATATTATAATATATATTATAACGGTTATCTATCTTCGACATAACGTCTGTTATACAAATGAGTTATATCGAAATTATGCCGTTACTTTATTGTAACAAGTATATCAAAATGATGCAACAGTCATATAACAATTATTTCGTAGCTATATTATAAAATATATTATATTAATATTATTACAATATAATATTCTGCTACATTACATATTACTTCCAAGTTATACAGGGTGTTCAGCGTAACGGTCCGCACAATTTTTTAGACACTTCCGACAATTAAAAAAAAAGGTTGAAAGGTAATTATCCATATTTCATGCGAGCTACAATATGCGATAAAAAAATTTTTTTTTTAATTTTTTTTATAAAGAAGTCAAGATCACTTGAATTTTTTAAATAGCACCATTACATTTTTTTTCATAATATTGTAGGGATTTTCAAGACGGATTCGACGCATTATCGAGATTGTTCCATTGATGTTTTATTGATTTTATTGCATATTTGATTAAATAAGTACATGTATGTATGTATACATGTGTTTATGTTCTATATTCCAGTCAAAAAGGTCGTAAGTATTGCTTTACAAATAATACATAAACACATAATATTTATCACACTATCGCAATACAAACATGATCACTGAAAGCTAAGATTGCTTTCTAAAAATGTTTATTAGTATTCTTTGAGTCTTCTTCTAAAGCGGATATTAATTGTTCTAATAATAACAATGAATCGTTATTTTAATTTGGAAAAAATTGATATGTTCTTGATATTTGTTGAATGCAGAAGAATGCTTCCCGTGAAGCTGCAGCCTTGTGCATGCAACGATATCCAGACAGAAATTATCCATTAGAAAAAACTTTTAGAAGCATTGAATAGTGTTTGCGAGAAACTGGTAAATTTCCTGATTGAAAACGTTCTAATCGAAGTCGTGTAGTTTCGAATAATGATAACTCTGCAATAATATTGGCTTATTTTCATGCAAATCTACATACGTCGGTTCGTGCTGTTGAAAAATAAAATGAACATATCAGTTGAAAGTATACATAAAATACTTAAAGAAAATAAATATCACCCGTTTAAGTTAACGTTTGTACAACATTTACGTCCAACGAGACATGAAGTTTAGAATTCCTAGCATGGCTTCCTACTGTTTATGAAGAAAATCCTTGTATCTCAGATAGAATTATAGATGAGTTAAAATTTACCAATAAGTATAGTCAATAGACGTAATCAACATTTGTTCGGATCATCAGCGCATTGGACTCGAGAACGGAACTTTCAAATTAAAATAGGTACTTGATCTTATATTTTATTATTTCTTTTCTCCTTTAATCTACATACATACATACATACATATTTTTATTTTTTTAATACAGAAATTAATGTCTGGTATGGTACACTAAATCATTATTTAATTGGATCATATTTTTACGAAGAAAGCTTAACATCACACAGACATTTGCACTTTCTCAATTCACAATTGCCAGAGTTAATGCGAAATATTCCCTATGATAGAGGGAGTATGTATTTCTAACGGTTACCCAATCCATAATGCACAAATAGTTCAAAATTATCTTCGGGATATCTTTGGAAATCGTGTTATAAGTACATATGGATCAATTCGATGGCCGGCACGTTCTCCGGATTATCTCCGATGGATTTTTTCATTATAGGGATCTAAAATCTTTTGTATATCAAGCCCCAATAAATAATATTCAAGATCTTCGAGAAAGAATAATTACAGCTTATATAACTTTGGAACAAAATAATATAATAGCTGCTACATTAAAAAGAGCAGAATTTTGTATTGCAGAAGGAGGCAAGCAATTTGAACATTTACATACTTACATAAGTTACAATTTTTTTTTCATTAATTTATGTTAATGCTGCAAATTTGATATTAAATATCAATAAAATCAATAATATTTGTTCACATCAGTTTAATCAGTAATAAGTTTACACATGTATTCTTTTATTAATGAGTATTTGTGATAAATATTATATGTTTATGTATATCAATAAAATACCAATGAAAGTGACAATCTCGATAGTGCATTGAATTCGTCTCGAAGATCCCTACAATATTATGGAAAAAAATATAATAGTGCTATGTAAAAAATTCAAGTGATCTTGAATTTTTTTATTAAAAAAAAATTTTTTTTAAATTTTTTTATCGCATGTTGTAGCCCGCATGAAATAAATGGATAATCACCTTTCAACCTTTTTTTTAATTGTCGGAAGTGTCTAAAAGATTGTGCGGACCGTTACGCTGAACTGTATATTGCAGCTATATTCTGTGTTTGCTGTGTTAAGACAATTTTAAAATAAAAACTACTTTGATAATTTTAAAATAAAAACGGCCTAGAAATACCGCCTCATGTTTAATGTTTCACAATTGGTAGCCTTTCCTCTTTATGAACAGTCCAGACGGAGAGAGCAGATATTTAGAAGTTGCGTAGAAATAATGTACATATAAAACATTATAACTTTATATAATCCCTGCTTAAAATAATGGATAAATTGTACCAGATATATAAAAAAATTAGATAACTTTATAATATTAGGTGTTGGAATTAATTCGTAGCGTTTTACAAGTGATGGGAAGTACTTTCATTAATGTATTTTTTAATGCTCATGTGAAATAAATAACATTCTTTCATTAAAAAACGCTACGAATTAATTCCAACACCTAATAATATAGATGTATACAGTTATAACCGAAGCGCTAGTGAGACTTTCCTACCAAACACGGAGTATAACTATGATATAACCTAGAAATAATATGTAATGTAACAGAATGTTATATTAATATACAGTAATTGTTGTAATATTAACATACAGGGTGTCTGGAAATAATCGCCAAATATTTCATGGGCAGGTAGAGCGGCCTAAACTGAATCGAAAAGGCCTCTACCATTTTGTAAGTTTCCTCAATAATTAACGAGATATTAATCCTTAAAGATAGCCGAATACGCGCGCCTGCCCAGTCTATTACTGCGAAGTATATACGCTTACCGATCGCTTGGCGCGCGGGCCATGGGGAGCGGGGGATAGCCTGGCAAGCGCGCTGTCCAAGCTATGGAGGCTTGCGGCGGTGTACGCGGCGTGGGGCGCTTGCCTGCCAATCCCTAACTTCTCGCGCGGCAAGCTATCGCGATGGCGAAAGAAA